TAGGCTTGTAAAAGAGAGCCCACCAAGATGAATGGCTTCGTAAAGGGGGAGGTGGGTGGGCTAAACCAGGCGGTCTCGGACCAGAGGAAGGTATTTATAGGCCGGGCAACTCCTCCCCCAACTACAAGGTTTGCCTACCGGCTCAGCCTTCTCAGATATATATTAAAAACTCACTTCTTTAGCAAAGCACATCAATCTAACTATTAATAGGTAATCCACCCTGCTTCCTCTCCTGCAACTGTGTCATTCAATAAACTAAGTCTTCACTGTAAACCATTCTAGTAACCTACATGTACGGGTTGTACATGAAATAACTCCTGCCCTCATCTACTGGGTCACTTTACCATTTACCCCTAGAATGGAAGCGTATTGATCAAGGCCCTCAACACCTTCTGTTCCTGTGAACTCAATTCATCTTGTTGTAATTACAAGTCTGTTAGTTCTCCTATTGTACAGCTCTATGGAATTGGTTGGCGTTTTATAAATAATGATAATATTGAATGGAGCGTATCTGCATACTTATTAATAATATTCTATAGCTGATTAGTGATAACTTTTAAACTGCCAAGAGTCGGACATTATTTTGAGGGTAACAGTGTCAAAAACCACACACATAAAAGTCAGGGTTATTCACTAAGATGACAATACAAAGTGAATTTCAATTTTAAGAGCAAAGCAGTCATACTGGAAGCGTAGGCGACTTAAAGAATTATTCCAGTTTGACTATTTTGACCTTAATTATAAAATTCTTTTTGAAATCTCACATTAGTAAATAACCATGTAGTGGTATTATTGATCATGTCAGCATACTTTAATAAACATTTTGTGGTCATTACATTGTTTTTATTTGTGTGTATATAAATCTATATAGAAGTTCTGTATATATATAAATATGTACCTCGTATTTCTTTCCAAGACCCCATTAGATCAGCTCTGCATGTGCTATTCCGGTATATCAATGTACTGTTCCTTGTATGATATCTGTGGGAGATTTATTTGCTTTCAATGACACAAAGCATAGCGATTGTTCTTCATCTAGCTTTGACGAGCCTGTCAGCCCCAGGTAAGCAACTATCCCCTGAATGCAGAGCCAGCTTCCTCTTTAGGAGTTGTGTTTCTTTTAGCAGTGCTAGTGACACAAAGTGTATTTAGATGAAAAGGGTTATCTGGTTAACATGTAGCTACTGCCCTTGATCTATCTCTCGAATCAGAGTCACAAGGAATGGAAGGTTTTCAAAGTCGCTGTGAACACAGACAGAAGTGTAGAACTCAGACAATGGACTGGTGGCATCTTTGAGCAATATTTTTTTTTGCCATTGTACCATTTAAAAGTCAGAAGACATATTGCTCATCTACTGCAAGACATCATCCCTCTATAGACTGTGTGCAGTGTCAGCCATAGCACGAACTATAACTGAAAAACAAACAGCCTTCTGAAGAGGGGATCATAATATACATCCCTGACTTCCTGCGTAGGAAGTTACTGTAGCACATGGCAGGAAGTGCAGTATACAACTGAAAATTCCTTCCCCAACTTCCTGGAAAACTGTTCACATAATGGACAACTTGACAGAAGCACCTGAAAATATGTTAAAGACTAGTACCTAATAATAAGCAGGGAGGGCGTCTACTCTCCTTAGGGATGCCAACTTTCCTGGAAAAAAATACTGGCCATACTAATTTGCATAACTAATTATGTATGTGTGACATCACATGATGTAAAAAAAATCACAAGGACAATAAGAGAAAATTCTAAAAAACGACTTTTCATTTGATTACAGTTTGATTTTGCTGTATAGAGGGATTGCTCCCACTATCTTCCTGTCTCTCGGTGTCTTTCCATGTGTCCTCATGTCTCCCAGGGTCTCCATGTCACCCAGTGTCCCCTAGTGTCTCAGTGTCCCCATGTCACCCAGTGTCTCCTACTGTCCACATGTCTCCCAGTGTGCCCTAGTGTTTCCATGTCTTCCAGTGTCCCGTAGTGTCTCCCAGTGTCCCCATGTGTCTCAGTGTCTCCATGTAGCCCTCTGCCTACCAGTGTCCCCTAGGGACCCCATGTCTCCCAGTGTCCCCTAGAGACCCAATGTCTTCCAATGTCCCCTAGAGACCCCATGTCTCCCTGTGTCCCCTAGAGACCTCATGTCTCCCAGTGTCCCTAGTGTCTCAGTGTCGCCATGTCTCCCAGTGTCCACAGATCTCTCAGTGTCCCCTAGTGTCTGTATCCCCATGTGTCTCCCAGTGTCCCCATGTCTCTCCCAGTGTTGCTTAGTGTCTCAGTTTCCCCATGTCTCCCATTGTCTGTGCCCCCATGTGTCTCCCAGGTCTCTCAGTGTGTGTTCCCTAGTGTGTGTTCCCATTTGTCTCCCAGTGTACCTTAGTGTCTGTGTCCCCATGTGTCTCCATGTCTCAGTGTCCCTAGTGTCTGTGTCCCCATGTGTCTCAGTATCTCCCCACCACCCTCACTTACCTGACATGCAGTCTGTCTCTGCAGACTGGGAGCTGCTCTCTGGACTCTCTGTAGCTGCTACCCCGTGGATCAGTGAGTAAAGAGAGGCAGGGGGCATTGGAGAAGCCTGTGTGCTGCCTCCTGCCTGCTGACTATGGCCCCAGTGAGATTTGGCCCTTTAAATACAGTATTTGGGCATATTGTATTTTATTATGCTGCTGCTGGCCCTTTAAGAACCATCTGGGGACATACTGTGACTTTTGGGAACAATGCCCCTTAAAGACGGTGTCCCCAGTGTGCCCAGACTGTTAATATACTGTGTTCCTGGTGTGGCGAAACCAACCTCGCCACTGGGCATTGGAGAAGACTGATTGCCAGCCTCCTGCCATGTGACTATGGCCCCTGGGATGTATGGCCCTTTAAAGACATGATTTGGGCATAATGGATTTGTGTTGTGCTGCTGCTGGCCCTTTAAGAACCATCTGGGGACATACTGTGGAGTTACTGGGTGGCCACCATTTCCTGTATCAGAAGCACATGGTGAGAACAATGGATGGCGGCCATTTTAACTCACAGACACTGTTTGGACTTTTCAACACGGTGCCATCTCGCCAGTATTTGGTGCACAGAGACATCGTGCGGTGGTTTTGGACTATACAGCAGGGGACACATTATACAGTAATTGTTTTTCATTTAGCTTGTATATGTTCTGCAGAATCTGCATTAAACTGTATCTTCCAAAGTACTGAACGGATCTGGGTGAATTTTGTATATGTGGTTCACCCAGATCACCCAGTTCCAAGGATATACTTTTTATGGGGTTATTGTTTTGGGGTCCCTGTGATGTGTTTTATGAAACTGTATTTCTCTGTCTGTGATAATTAGATTACCCATTGTGTAAGGTAATTGTATCACAGGCAGAGGGGAGGATTTTGTGTGGAAGTGTCTTTCTGTAATGTACGTGTGTTATTGGTTGTTCTGCAAAACCCTGTGGGCAGTACTAAGTTTGTGGATTGGGAATAAAAGAGGCTGTATGTGCCAGTCCAGTCAGTTCCTGCTTAACCCGCAAAGTGAAGTGTCGTCTCATTATTGGGGGAGGATTTATTGTATGCTGTTCCAGTTTGACTGCTAGGAGTGTAAATCTATTCGCATGTTTTTTTCCTATTCAGCTGTATACAACATTCATATGCTTGAGAGCATTCATATGCTCCTACGGTTCGGTGGTTTTGGTGTCTGCTGCAGTGCTTGGAGTCCTCAGGAAGCATCCTTCAATGGAGGTACCCAGTCAGGGTGCCAGGTGATCCGTTACACCTGGCTTTCTCCCACATGGTTCAGTAAATGGGGCTTACTGAACCAGGTCCCACACAGGCGGACACCCAGAAGTGGAAGTGTGCAGGCAATTTACCTCCCTGGCTGGGAGCCTGCTGTAGGTAAATTGCCGAACGCTGGGGGGCTGCCATTCGACAAACGAACAAGTGGCGGCGGCCATCTTTTTTTTATTCAATGCGGTCAGCGGTGTGTGTAGCCAAATTCATGGAACTGAAATTGGCTACACAGTTCCGCGAACACCTTCTCCCACAATGATTTTGCAGCTGCAGAGACTAAGTCCCATTCGTCGATGGGACTTAGTCGTTTTTTCAGCCTGAAATAGACCGACCGCACAGCCCAAATCTATGGAACTGTTTTGGGCATGAAAATGTGCTTGCGGTCGGTCATAAAGGGACCTCCAGCTAAATTTTTTTTATTCTTTATTTTTTGTGTGCAAGATTTCACAAAACGGGTTGTGGTGCCACAATAGCAGTCACAAGCACAGTGTCAACATACATTTCACATATGGCATATAGAAGATCTGCACAATTTTTATATTATGATAACATTATAGTATTACGAATTTGGTGCTCCATCTGTTTTCACCGCTAGTATCGTCAGTTTACGCAATAGGAGCATAAATACAAGCATGACTAGGAATCACAGTTTGCTTCACTTAGTATGACATAAAGTTAGACGTTTGCTGGTTATAATCATATGAGTGTTTGGTCTCTAATACGTTGTTTGGTCTAATTAGTTAAACTCTAGCTTGGTCTACCTCGGGCGCCACCGTGGAGCGCGTGGAGTTTCGTGGGGTTAGTTGCTGTCGCTCCCTTAGTCAGGTCTGGGGTCTACGCAGTTAATAATGGGGGTATTTGTCAGGGCTTATGCGTGATTATTATTATTATTATTATTATTGCCATTTATATAGCGCCAACAGATTCCGTAGCGCTTTACAATATTATGAGAGGGGATTTAACTATAAATAGGACAATTACAAATAAACTTACAGGAACAATAGGTTGAAGAGAACCCTGCTCAATCGAGCTTACATTCTATAGGATATCTTTGTCTGCAGTGGCATGTGTATACCAGAAGTTGTCATGTTGTGCGTTTATGGGTTGCTTTACCTACTGGTTATGCTGGCTGGATGTCAGGTAAGTCAGAGTGTGTGTGAGTCAGTGGATACCGTTTGTTTCAGTGTTTGCAGGTACGGCATCATAGAGTCCATAGTTAGTGTCCAGAATTAGCCGATGCCTAGGCTTGGTTGTGGGCATATAGGGCTGTAGGAGGCCCGGCGGCAGAGTTCAATAAAGCCCTCTTCAGAGCCCTGGGTAATCCTGGGGGCCTGCTTCTGCGGCTCGAGGTTTCGAGTGCTTCCAATATGGGCCGCGGTCCTTCCCCGTGTAGGAGTTGTCGAGCATCCCAGTATGGAGTTTCCTCCTGTGGTCTCGGTTCTTCCGCGCCTGAGTTTGGCATTCAGGGCAGGAGCTCCTGGATGTCTTCGGCTGGATTGGGCTCGTTTGGTGTGGTTGTGTGGTCCGTGCGTTAGGGGTGCCCAAGGGGAACCCCCTCTGTTCCCGCCTTTTGTCTCTCCACTTGCGGTTCTTTGCCGGAACTGGTAGCCGATTAAGGTGGGTTGCTGGCTTGTCTCGGGGGCATGTGAGGTCCACAAGTCGGCTCTGCCTTTGGGGGGCTGCGCATTATGTGGCAGGTCGCTCTTTGTATGCTCATGTGGTTGCGGGCTATCCGCCATATTGGAGCGCTCCCTCTGGGCTGTGTTCTGTGGCCTGGCTCGTGTTTGGGCTCGGCAGTAGTCAGTGGTGGTCGCCCGTGGGGACCGGGATAACCCCCGCCGGTCCAAGGGGGGGGGGCAGCCGGCCGCCATTCGGCGACCCGGGGGAGCAGCCGTCTCTCCCCGGCTCAAGCTCGAGTAGGCCCCACGCCGTGGTCGGGTTACTCCGGCACCATACCGTGTCTTGAGTGGTATCGCTGTGTGTGCCCTCATCTTGTGGGCAGTTTGGGTGCCAATTTGGGTTGGTGGCTACTTATGGTGCGGAGTTGACTCCGATTTTCCGGCCCAGATCCCAGAGCTCAGACAAGACACGTCTGATCTGTTCAGCAGTCAGGCCCCGACCCTCCAGCTAACTTTTTAACCTCTGCATGGAATTGGCTGAATTTTGGATATGTTTATAATTAAAGTGTGCTGAGTTCGAATATTTATATTTGTGGCATGTATATTTTTGAAGTTATTAATATTTTGTAAAAACTGTATTTCTCTGCCTGTGATAATTATATTAACCATTGTGTTCAGTAATTATATCACAGGCAGAGGGGAGGATTTTGTGTGGGAGTGACTGTGTGTATTGTACGGATTGATTGGTTGTATTTCAAAACCCTGTGGGCAGTACTATATTTGTGGATTGTGAATAAAAGAGGCTGTATGTGCCAGTACAGTCAGTTCTACTTCACCCTCAATTTGGAGTCCTGTCTCTTATTGGGGGAACCTGCTACAAGGGATTGCTATGCTCTACATATTCCCTTGCTATAATCACTCCTAAGCTCTTTTTAAGAGCTCGTTCCTGCTTCGCTCTGAAGGAAGAGAGGTTCGGCTTGCGGTGGTTGTGGTGTCGGCTAGAGTGCTTGGAATCCTCAAGAAGCGCTAGGAGCATCCATCAACGGAGGTACCCAGTCGGGGTGCCAGGTGATCCTTTTCAATGCCTACCTCCCTGTCTCTCTCCACACACACTACCGGCGCCGGTATTGCAGTCTAATTTCAGTTTATACTGAGAAAAATACCGGCATTTGTATTACAATACCGGCACTGGCCAGGCTGACTCAAAAACCGGCTGTGCCGTTAAAATGCTGGCCAGGTGGCAACCCTAACTCATCAGTCCTTGTTAGAGAAATATCATACTGTTTGAAATGGTAACAGGGCCACATTCTTCAAGAAAAACTTCTAATTATCTGAGAAATGTTGCAGATGGAAATCTATTTCACCCTAATCTGCTGTGCTCTAAAAGGCAGCTCGAAATTCAATGACATTTTGGACATCATAGACAATGTTAGATTTCATGCTGGGATTTATAACACAACCCATGAATGTGTTTAGACGTTTGCATGGGGTATTATAATCCTGGAGATTGCAAATATCATGAAGTAATAGTGCTTCCACCAATTGGTACACTCAGTTATATAAAATGGCCTTGTAGAACCCTTATTGGACTGCAAGATGGCTGCCTATACCATTACAGATAAACCGACACATTCAACACTTGGCAACAGGTTTGACAAAGGCTGTGTGTAGCCGAAATGTCACCCGTTTATCTGACACCATGAATAATGGTCCGGCTTGTTGAGATTAGGACTGTGTCAAAACCCTTCTTTTTCTTCAAGACTTGCTGGTTCAGGGTATCTTTGGGCTTTTTTTTACCAAACATAAAACTGACAGGATGTAGAAAAACGACATTATTTTATTTATTTATTTTTACGTGCCGTCATGTTAATGAACAGGCTACCGGATGGCTGTTTGCAACATGTATGTTTTTGGATGATATTACCATAACACTTTTTTTAGTCTTTCTTTAGAAGTAAAATCTTCTGTTCTCATTAACATTGTAAATATCACAGAAAGTTGACTTGGATCCACCATGATGGCCCACTTCCTGAGCAATGCCTTACTTATTGATTCTTAACTGCACTAACAGAAATGTTGAAATCCGTGTTAGTGGTTTGTTTGTTTTTTGAGGATTATAGCGCAAAGTGCCAAAAATTATGAAAAAGCACTAAGCTATGAAGAACTCAGTGTATTGTGAAAGCTATTACAACGCTTTAAGTTAAGACAATATGTAAATATAGTGTAAATGCAAACTGTGTGCAAAATACAGCACAAAATAATGAACAATTCTGCATTGTGTTTTCCAGATCATAAACCATTAAAACCAATAACATAAATATACAACAAAAAAACAACCCAGACGCTTGGATTGCACACATTGGGCCAAAATAGACAATTTTCCCAAGCATGTGAGTATGGTCACGAAACCTTTGGCCCTTTTGTTTTTTCTGTGTACTATGGAGAAACAAATTTTTTGTCAGTAAGAAACCAAAAATATGAAACAAAGAGTCCATCATTTCATAACTAGCTGACCACAAAACCCTGAACTCAAGAGGAATCATCATTGTAATAGCTGTGGTTTGAGGACATTAAAACATCTGCCTTTAAGCAGACAGAGCTGAGAGCAATGCCCTTTCAACTTCTCGGCAGCTGTTTGCCAAATCATTTCATCACTAATCTGTGACATCCCTTCTGTCTTTGTGGTGGACATGTTCCAAACAAGAGGTCATCGAAGGACCAAGGGCAACCTTCGCAAGTCTCTCCATGATAATATTCAACTTTCTAATCTATGCAGATCCGGTGCGATAGCTCAGTGGTTAGTAGATCGGTATCTCGCCTATCAGTTCAAACTCTGGGTCTGAAGTTCCCCATTCCTGGCAGTAGTGTTTCTTTATATATATATCTATACATACACACACCATTTATATATCATTTATATATACATACACAGATACCATTTATATATACACACATACACACCGACCATATTATATATATTATATATACATATATATATATATATACACACACACACCATATATATATTATTTCTATATACATACACATCGACTATATATATATATATATATATATATATACATATAGGGAAAAAATAAATAACCTGTGCCTATAATTTATAAATCTTTAGGTGGAATCACACACATAAAAAGTATATACATACATATATAAAACAGGGTCTTGTTGGTTCTTGTCGGAACTTCAGAACTTTGGGACTTCGCCACTTCGGTTCGGTACGGTTCGGCACTTCGACACTTCGGCAACTTCGGAACTTCGGATCTTCAGAATTTGTATGTTCTCTTGCAGCCGCATAGTACATAACTCCCTAGTTCCCAAGGTTTACTTTAGGGCCCCCACCTGCTGCTCAGGGGTGGGGGCCAGTGGGAGGACAATAGGTCCCCCCCTTTGAAGTATTTTAGGGTCCCCACCCACTGCTCAGGGGTGGGGGCCAAGGGGGGAGGACAATAGCCCCCCCTTTTTTTATTTTAGGGCCCCCATCCGCCGCACAGGGGTGGGGCCCAGGAGGGAGGACAATAGGAGGGGGGGAACCTATGTCCTCCCCCCTAGCTCCCACCCCTGAGTGGTGGGTGGGGGCCCTAAAGTAAAATAAAAATAACTAATAAAAATAAACTAATTTTTACTTCGTATTAGTAAATTTGGCTGAAAGACCAATTTAGGTCTTTCATCCTTTTGGTAGATAGCTCCCTAATACCATGGGAATTAGGGAGTTATCTACTTACTCATCCCCATCCCTTGACTGTAATGGAAGTAACTTACATTTTATATAAATGTGTGTTAGTTGATTGTTGTAAGTGTTGCAAATGCTTACAGCTGAATCCTGGCTATGTTTGTATACTTTTTATTTAAAGTGGTATACAGTGTAACATTCTTCATTCTTCCACTTCGGCACTTCAAGCCTTCGGCACTTTGACAGTTCAGAACTTTGGTAACTTCGGAACTTCGGCAATTCAGCTATTCGGACATTCGGAAGTGTCCGAATGTCCTAATTGCTCGAAATTCGTCTGAATTGACATTCGGAACAAAACGAATTTCACATGTCTACTATTTAGAAGAATAAAAAAAAGTTTTTATTAGCCATAGACATGCAATTTTGGTCATGTGATTAATGACGTAGTTTTGGCACCAAAATGAAATGTTTTAAAGCCTATATAGACCCAGTTACGTCAAGTATCTGTTTTTACCACTTGAAAAAGCCCTAAGGGGAGAAACGCGTTGTGGTTTTTATGCTGTTAAATAAGGTATTTTGGCTATCTCGCTACCTGCTTTTTAGCCATATATTTTTAGAACTTATTATTATTTATTTTTATACTTTTACCTGACATCTGGACCCATTACTTACTGTGGACAACCAACCAAATAAATCCTTGGTGGGGATTATACCACCCAGGCTTGATACATAGAGCGGTTAGTCTGCTCACTCTATTGTAAGTATATTTTTATTTAACTTTTTGATACTTACCTATCTATATAGAGAGCACTATTAGCTGCTTTTTTGTCATTCCATATGATCTACCTCATCGTTATCCAGTTGTGATTTAACCATTATTCTACTGTGTACCAAAACCAGAGAGATAACCTGCAAGTGGGGATTGTATACCACTGCATTCTGTTTTAACCAGAGGTGGATATAGCTCTACCATATGTGAGTTGACATCTTATCTAAGTGTCGTTTGTCCTACCACGTACTATCATATTGCACTATTAGTTTGCCTCTGTTTTTACTTCCTTTTCATATTCTGCTATTATGCAAAGCTACCAAGAAAGTCCCGTACCAGGACTAGAATATCTATTGCCACCTTCGAGACTGTGCCGTACCATTTGGTATTTGTTATTCTTTCAAGTTTTATTGTGGATTTTTTTTATATACTGTTGTGTTTGGAGTGTATCCATTTATACATACATACATACATACACACACACACACACCATTTATATATACATACATACACACACACACACACACACCATTTATACACACACACACACACACCATTTATATATACATACATACACACACACACACACATACACACACCATTTATATATACATACATACATACATACACACACACACACACACCATTTATATATACACACCCACACACACCATTTATATACACACACACACCATTTATATATACACACACACCATTTATACACACACACCCACACACACCATTTATATATACACACACACACACACACACACACACACACACCAACACACACCATTTGCATATATACACACACACACACACCATTTATAAACACACACACACACCATTTAAATAAATATATATATGTATACACACCATTTATATATCCTCACACAGACACAATGTATATATACA